GAAACGTTGTACATTTGCTGTTATGTTAAACTTATATTAAAGTTTTTCTTCATTACCCATTCAAGCCATCTCCAACCATTATTAGACTAGAAAAAGGTTTAGATACTGATCATAGATGGCAGAACCAGTGCTAAAGTGCAAGGAAACATTTTTTTTATTGTTGAGGGTGCTTATTTGTAGTCTCAAACGTATTTTGGGATTATTTTTATTAAATTCCTCTTTAAACTTCATTAAACAATACAATTTGGTAATTATAAATAATTGAATGTTATGCTACTATTGACAAAAATAAAATCTGAAATCCAAAAAAAAAATTCTCTATAATTTTTTCAATTCACAAATGTGATTTTACCCTCACAATAAGACAAAATGGCCTCATTAAGTAAGGGGTTAATGAACAATTGCTAGTTCAAGCTGAAGAATTTGATGATTTTGATATAGAACTATTGTCATAGAGTTTCAATACTGTGAATGTAGACAAATATTTGAATATTGCATATTCAAGTATTTTATGTGTTTTGAATCTCTGCCTCCGAGACAATTCTTTATTCTAATTGTAAATCTCCTTGAGTTGGTGACTTGTGTACTTCACTCACGACTGCATACCTGGATTTAAATAACTTCATTTGTAAATGATGTTCAAGTCAAACCCCAAATGACTAGCCTACATGGCCTCCCATTACATATATAATGGCTTTTTTCAATTATACACTGAAATTCCAGGATGTTATGCGTGGAATGAAAAAGAATGTAAGTATACAAAGCCTGTGATTAGCTAATAAATTCAATTAATCACAAAGATATATAACACTTACATTTAAGGATTATTTTGCTTCATGTACATGGAAACATAAGTTATACAGAGGTTAGGAGTTTCAACAGAATGGCTTATGACGCATTTCAAGAAGCTGCAAAAGCAAAAACTCTGTTTGCAGCTGATGAGTAGTGGGAAAAATGTCTGAATGAAGCTGCTACATTTGAGTTTTTAGAAACATTGTGACAGCTACTTGCATTTACTGTACATCAAATAATGCTTCAGACCTAAGGAAGAAATTTCAAGAATAATTGATAGAAGATATTTACAAATTGTATGATGTAAAAACAGGAGAAGGGAAAACTGCTAAAGTAGACAGTATCTTAGGTTCTCTTGGTTCTAAGTTAATATATTTTGATTTAACACATCCTCAAAATATAGCATTAGAATTCAAGAAACAAGATACAGAAAAAAAAAGAAGTATCATAAATAATTCAATATTAAATAACGGTTAAATATTAAATTTTGATAAAGTAATGGAACCTAAAAGAGCATTGTTTTCTTATGAACGATCTAGCTGAAACCAGAAAAGCTTTTGTTTATAATACATTGATATCACATTCATGGTCCTAAAACACAGATTTCATAGCTTTTGCATACACTGGAATAGCAGCAACATTACTTGAAGATGGAAGAACTTATGAATTAAGGTTTAAGCTACCAATGTCATTGAATGAAACCTCAACTTTCAAGGTAAAGAGCAAAAGCATTTATAGTTTAATAACATGGGAGAAAGTAACAATGTCTTAAAACCATTCAATTCAGGCTTTAGATAGATACTTAAAAAATCTAACCAATAATAAAGAACATTTTGGAAGAAAATAAATACTATTCAGAGAGGACTTTCAGCAATACCTACCTGTTATGAAACATGGAATTCATAGACAAGTTATAGTGACATGCATTAATAATGATTTAGTCATTTTTAAACTTAACATGCGACTTTTGCCAGGAGAAGAACTATGTTGCAAATGGTTGATGAAATTTGTAATAGGACCCTATTGTCAGTAGAAATACTTGTAAATTGTAAAGTCCAAAAGGAAGAAACATTGATTAATAGTATCTTCAGTTTTGAGTTTAAGCAAAATTCTTATGAGAAATTTTATGTTAAATTAATGACTTTTCATAAGCTAGCAACAATAAAGTTTTAGAAAAATTTTACAATGAAACACATACTACAGTTTAGACTCCATAACAATTATTATTTTTTTTTGAATTTCGCAAAAA